GCTACATAAATTTCCTCCTGAAATGCTATCATTGATTCCAGAACAGATATGGAAATCATTTGCAGTCCAGATTTTGCATAAAATCACAAATCACATTCTTGACCACAAAGTAAATGAGGATTTGGCACTTAGACCTTGGGATTTTATTCATAAATGGGTATTGTGCTTTCCTCATTTATTTAAAACAATCGATTTCCTGTTCCGGAATGATTTCATTGATTCCAAAACCATAAGAAGTGTTTTTCACAACCAAGACATTCTGTACCTCTCAAATATGTTTACCAAGCATAATTCTGAATCTATGATGTGGCACATAACATATTGCCTTTGGAGCCCTTTGGTGGACATCACTGCACACTGGTTCTGGCCATTTGGTTTCAAGTTTTATGAAGGTGAGCTGATAAATCCTGTCATGGCTTGAGGCTTTTTTGGAAATAATTTAAACTTTTTTACCCAAAAAATCAATTTCACAGTCTTTGATCCCCAAGAAATATTGAAGATCAATCTTTCTAGATTGATTTCAAACATACAGCATGCAGCAAACAGATTTTATAGGGTTGGAGATGAACCTGATGAATGGAATTCTCTCATAAACTCAATTAAGCAATACCAGAGCTATCTCACAGAGGATCAAGAATCAGATAAAGGATTAAAGACTTCAAATTTTCTGGAGGAAAAAAACAAACTGATTGATTCAAATATCAAAAGCCAAGCTGTGCTGAAGTATGATACAGAAATTCTTTTGAGACTTCTGGTCAAGATAAATAGTCCTAAAAATTACCACGGTGTGGAAAGAAAGGCGCGCCCTAGGGGATTTCCTGTACTTCTCCGCTCCGCACGCGTCTTACTCCGGTTTGTTGTCCGGGGTAACTTGCTTGATGGTCTTGTAGGTAGGTAAAATAACACTCTTTATTTGTCTTTTGTAGGTAATACTCTAACTCTATTCTATCTTCTAACAATTCTTTAGGCTAATACACGATTCACTCCTAAGTCACTCTCTTTTCCGATGTGTTCCGAGTCATAAGTCCCCCTCCCCTCTCTCCTCTTCTGCCTCGAAATCCCCTCCTCCTCAGTTTCCCACACTCCAGTCCCTTACTACTTCCCGCGCTGTCACCCCTTCGGACTCCGCATGTCACCCCTCCGACGCCTGTCGGTCCAGGTACTCCTCCGGCCGCTCGTAAGCAGGTCTCCCACCGCCGCTTCCGTCTCTGGTCCGCTCTGAACCCCGCTTCCGCCCCTCAGTGCTCCCCGCTCCTTGTAGCCCCTCCGCAGTATACGCTGAACCCCCGTTCCGCAGTCGGCCGTGATCCCCGGTGTCCGCCGGTGCCCGGATTCCCCGCAGTAAGCTTTTCAGAACCTTGTGCATTCGGTCTACTTTTCCCCGCTTTCCCGCACCTCGGAAAGCTAGACTTTCCGCTAATGCGCCGCCGCTTTCCTCAGCCTGCTCGTGTAGCGTCAGCCCCGCGTGCTTTCCGCATCAGCGCTGCGAGCATTCCGCATGCCCCAAACAAACCGGCCAAAGCTTTGGCCCAGGCGCGCTCTCACCACCACAACGGTGAATATACTTGGAAGAGACAAACCTTATCCGGAGCAATATGTGAACTTTTGGATTTTATTGAACAGAACCTTTCTCCTGGCATTATGAAATTGGTGTGTCATGAAGAAGAGATTGAAGACCAATATCACTTCATGCTTATATCATTAAGGATCATTAATTTTGCCAATATGGCAAGGAATTATAAGATTTATTCTGTAGCAGAAATGGGTCCATCTTCAATACATTATCCAAGAAAAAGCAAATATGTCAGGAGAGCTTATATTGAAAAAATATTAGATCTTTATCCAGAGTTATTGGAAATTGGTTCAAAGTTTTCAAAAACATGGCCAGATTGGTTTTCCCAATCATCAAAAATGAGGGATCTCTTTTTGATTGGCTTGAATTCATTGGAAGAACCAGGGGACATAAAATGTATCATTCATAACATCAAGAATAGGAAATAAATGATTACTTCTCCACATCAACATTACCTGATTAATTTCAAAATATCATTGATCATCACTTTTGCTGTTTTCATACTCAAAGTAACCCAACTTCTTGTGTGTATCAATGTTGTAAATTGAAGGGAAGTCCTCCACTGCATCCCATGACATCCAAAGTTTATCCAATGCCTTTTTTTGATTGGATGATTTCCTTTTGAATCTGTAGCCCTCTCAGATTTTGATCTAGAGCTGCTAAATTGGATTGTTTTCTGTTGAACTTTCATTTATTTACAGAAATTTATCTATTTTTGCAGTGGAATCATTATCTAGCCCCAAAGAATCTAAACTGATTAAGATCATTATACATGGTCTGAATGTCTTGATGTGAAGTCCACCATTTGTTTTATAAGAGCAAGTAGGAGCTAAAGATGGCAGTTGGGGATTACCTGCTGGGTTGAGGTACTCTTGTAGATGCACAATGAATCTTGTAAACCTGTTGTGGACCATAAAGGCCCATGAGGTTTGGCTTAAATAGAATGCTCCAAAGACTGGTGTGGCTGCTCTAGTCTTAGGTCCTGCAGGTATGGATTGGAAATTGACGGTTGCACCTTTCCAGTTATTCTATTAACGCAAAAAATTGCTACAACAGATCCTAGTCACATCTGGATGGCTTGACGTGCCGGGAAACTGCTGCCGGCAGAAGCATTGGACGAGCCTGGTTGGCCAATATCTAAATGGATCGATATGCGGATAGACGTCAGGACATACTCAAGTCTTAGTGTTGTCAACATTTTCAGAAATCAGGGTTCTGCTATATCTTCGAGGAGTGAAGCCGGGACTGCTACATATCTTCCAGATCCGCAAAGGGGTGAAGTAATTTCATCTTCAGCAAGTTTCCAGGCCAATAATCAATATTCTGACCCCCTGTGGATGTTCATGATGAGAGTACCCTTCATCACGCTTTGGGTAGGTAAAGGAGGTATGTATGAAATATGGCTCTCGTGATTCATGATGACCAACTGGATCGGTTGGGAATACCAAATGCTAGAGTCACATACTGAGGTGAGAAGAGATTGGGCCTGGCAATCATCTGGATGTGACTATGCATGCACTGAAGCACAAGTGCCAGCTCTGCCAGCATGGGCTTCCTTTGATCCTATTGGCCACAACAAGGGCTTGTCTCGATGCCTGGTCTCAAAGGCTTACCATTGCGAGTTCCCGGTTAGGGCTGTAAATACTAGTTAGCGACATTCTTTTTCTTTCTATTCAAGGAGAAAGGAAAAGTCCCTGATCAATCCTTTCAGAAGGAAAAGCTGCACATATTAAGAACAACATCCACACTTCACGGTCACCTATTTGCATGCCAGTCGCTGCAAAAGAAGACAGTTGTTTCCGATTGATCCGGAATATTATCCATTCTTCGTGCGCAGGTTTGACCGGGTTGATTAGTATCCCCGGCCAACTCCTGCCTCCATGCCCAGATTCCATGATGTGATGGAGACTTCAATTGGCCCCAATGGAAAACAATCCAGGAGATGATAGTTAAACTTGCCCAAAGGTGCATACATTCGAGTTTGTAAGATTAAATAATTGCTGGAATCTCGAGACTGAGTTTAACCTTAGGAGCAATTAGCTAACCAAATCTCAACATTCGTAACTCCAAAGTGTACACCACTTAGCTTTCGGATCTCTTCCGGCAAGAAGAATATACTTCCAGAGATCACCCAGCGGCAGTTTCCCCGTATCGCCGTACGATTGGAAATCTTGACATGAGTTTCCTTCAACATCTCAGACTCAGGTGGACGAGCGGCGAGATTGTTCTGATGTCGTCGCTATCCACAGCGCCCATGGAATATTTCATGTAATTAATTAATTAATTAATTGACTTCTACTCCGTTGTTCGTCCCACATGATCAAGTAACAGACATTCTGCTCAAGGGCTATCCGGGCCAAGCCTAAACGCAGTAGTATTAGGGTCTTCAGAGAGAGAGAGAGAGAGAGAGAGAGAGAGATGAGGAAAAAAACACTCGTAAACAAACTAGTATATACTCAAGGAACCTCACAATCAAGCCTCCGTTGCTCCCCCTGACTCCGCGAGTCCTGAGGAACATAGCTTTGAGTTTCAAGGTTACATTCTAGTCGGCAACAAAGCCTTGAAGCGGCGATTATGGAACACGCCTAACCCGTCTCCTGACCTCTACGCATCATGTCTTCAAGATCTACGGGCCTATGGCTTGCTGTCCTCCAAGGTAAGGGATACATGGTTTATAAATTGATTGATACAATACCTCAGAGAAGTTGATTTAATTTTCAAAGCCAGACTGCTGTAATACCTCCCTCGATTGCTTTGGTCAAGTTCCGGAAAGGACCAATAAATAACTACTTACATTAAACCAGAAATATTCCAACACATAGCTATTCTCTTAGTGCAGTAGCTATTCATTGATCTGAGGTACAGTTGGTCTGCCACTGGCCATCTTACATTATACTCGTTGTCTTTCGTGAATCCCAGCACGCTTTACCAAATAACCGCTTGGCCAAGGATACATATAGGATTGCTACTGGAGCTCTTGGTTGGATTCTTCATAATTGTGAGCTCATGATTTGAATGCGTCCAGCTTTTAAGAAGAACAACCTCAACCTTTCAAGATATCGAAATTGCATTTGACTCTAAGTTTCGGCGTTGCTCAAAAACTCAGCTCAACGCAAATTCAGCTTACAGCCAAGACCATATATAGAATCAATTTTGTCAGGGGACCAGGAGTGATTCCTTGGATTACGTGTAAGTGTGCGTATGATATTAGCATGTGGTTCAAGAGTTTATGATTCCAAAACATTGAGTTGAGAAGCCAACCACCTGCCCATAGTTTACTCTCCCGAGCCTCTGAACATCACCTGAAAAAAGAACCAACCTCCAATAAAAGCCTTCAGACTGGAGGTGAGAAACTCCGAGTTGCTTATAAGGGAGCGCGCAAAAAGATCAAGACACTATATATAACAGCTTATCAGGACCAATATCAATGTCGTTCATATTCAACGCCCCCGCCCTTGCAGTAGATGTGGGCATCACACTTATATACGGTTTCATTGGTGGCTGTTGGCTCGTGGTTATTTATCGAATGGTATCTTTGGGGGGTCAATTGGCTCTTCTATCTCTTCCATCGTCATTTCCTCATCACCCGTCTTTTTCATCCGCTTCCACCGCCCAAGAGTATTGGCTATCGCTGGGAGGCGAATTTCTCTTTGCCATCAGTCTGCTCGAGGTGATCTTTTCGATTTACTGTCTTTACTTGATTCGATGTGCTCAGGCTCTACCCGACTCGACACCCCGTTCATTGGAGCTCCTCAAGGATTTGATTGTTCATGCCCTTGGAAGTGGCCTTGAGCCCGATCCACCCTCTGATCCACATACAAGAACCACCGACGAAAAAGATCTTGATCCAGATTTAGGAATAGCTCCTTCAACCGCCTTTCTGAACAAACCATTACCATTTGATCATCCAAAAGCCAAAGATTTCCGGGAGAATCATTCAATATGGTTCCAAAATTCCCGTTGGGAAGATATCTATCGTGAGAACCACCTCGAATGGCTCTCTGCGGCCCTTCTGAACAAGCCTTTGGAGAAAGTAAAAGAAGAAGACAAGCTCAAGTCAAAAGAAGAGGCTGTCCTACCGCTTTTGGATGAACTCGTGTGCGCCTACGAGAAGCGAGTGGGAACTAGATTGCCAGACGGATACAACGAGTACTTGGCCGACAAAACGATCATGCTGTTTAAGGATCCAATTAGAGTTAGCCTGAGACCCTTGACGCTTTCTTACGGTGTGGCGTGGTCGGTCAACGAGATAATCCGGCAGCTCTTAAGATACAAAGGTTTCAAACTCAAGTGTTGCTCGAACCGAAAAAATGGGCTCAAGTACTTCATCAGGATACCTGACTCGTGGAGAAAACTACCATCTGATCAGAGGCCTCCCGCCATTCTGTTCATACACGGAATCGGAACGGGTGAGAAATATCGCTGTTTATCATCCTCATTTCACAAGAGAAACATAAAGCCTTAATCCTACCTGAACTTGCTTGTACAGGTTTCCTGCTATACAGCAGTTTGATCAAATATTTGGCGCTTTCTCCGTGGGCTAATGAGAGACCCGTGATGATATTGGTCCAACCTCATATTTCGTGGGTCTAGTCAATGCTGCCTTCTAATACATGAATGATTGGAAATAGGTTTCTAAGTTAGATGATTCCCAATCCATGTTTGATGCCTTACCAAATTTGACCGACTTTCTCGATGATGATAATAGGATGGAGATATTCTCACCTGCTTACTTTCTTCCACCCAATGAAACCCAACTGACTGGTGATATCAAAGAAGTTTTCGAGGATTTGGGCTTTCATGAGACAGGAGTTGAACTCTTAGCCCATTCAAACGGCACCGTGGTTTCAGGCTGGATAATAAAAGCTTTCCCCAAGCTCGTCAAGAGGTCTTGCCTTTTGGACCCGATTTGCTTTGGTAAGTGGTTACACTGAATGTTCCATTGATCTAACCCGTGAGCTGATCTAGTGCTGGGCGTCTTGACTACGGACCATCGACTCGAATTCCATCTTTCATAGCTTTATGGTCAGTCAATTAATTTACTGCAACTCATTTCATAAAGACTCAAATTAATACTCTCATTGTTTTTCTACCATTCTTGATATCAGGGAGGGACATGTTTGCTATAAGTGAGTATGAGACGAAGACTCAAAACAAAGGCTATATGAATTTCAACCTAATCAAACAATCATCTTAGTTTCTTGTATTCAAAACCAAAGACAGGCTTAGAAAAGCTGTTGCGATTCGGTATGGCGGAAGAATTGGGAATCGCTTTTTACACTCGGCGCCATTTCAATTGGCCAGATGCAGTCTTGTGGCCACATCAGGTACCTGGATTCCGTGACCCCAAACGCTTCATAGTGCTGCTGTCGGGTAAAGATGCGATAATCAATGCCAGTCGGATTCGTCGCTATCTACTGGAGGGAGGAATGGCAGACGCTTTTCCATTAACTTCAGACACCTCCAACTCTTCCCAAGGGTGCGACGACGAGCCGCTCATTCAAGTTGAGATCGATAGGCAAGACTCTGCCCCGGGAAGTCAAAATATTGGCACAAGCGAGCGAATCGGTAATGGTGGGATCATCTTTGATCCAGAGGCGGCACATGGACAAGCTCTACTTCCTGACCATCCATATCTAAAAGCAATCCTAGGCTGGCTCGAAGGGAATGGGATCCGAATGGATAACGGTCCTCAGTAAGCTCATCAAAACTCCGATCATATTAGCGCTGCCAACTCGGGTTACCTCGTGGGATTTTCTAGTGTCCATCTGTGCCTTCACCATTGAAAATTGTAATAATAATTTAACAACACAAATCTGTACATATACAACATCAATCGTTTTATCTTCTTAGCGCCTTTCCCTTTTTCTTGCTTCTTTGCTACGTACATATCTTGAAAAACCTGTGCATGGAAACTGGACCCGGGACAATCTAATCGGTAGTTGATGATTTGTAATTGATCTCCTATTCACCTGTAAATCTCGGCTGGCGTTTCTCATTAAACGCTTTCAATCCTTCAATCCTATCCTTTGTTTCCAAAACTGTATTGTAGCATTGGCGTTCAAAATCAAGGCCAGTTTCACTAAGATCCAAGGGTGAAATTAGTGTGTTGGCGCTAGTACACTCGAACGTCAGAGGATGAGTAGTTCAGTTGGGCGACTGACAGATCAACCTCAACGCTACGGTTTATAGCTAGCTTTGCGGCTTTGATGGCCACAGGCCCTACATATCAGAGAAGCGGGAATAAATAAAAGTACAGTATTCAGCAGAACATAATCATGAAGTCGAACTGAAATTAAGGAGATGTGTACCATTTGGAAGAATTCCTCGAGCAACTTCGTTTGCATGGTCAACCGCTGAGACTTCAGCCTCAGAAATATAATCGAACAGCCCTAGAAAATATTATCAAGACCTTGCCGTCAT